ATCTTGTCAAATATGCTTTTCAGGTCCTAAAATGGTAGAAGTCCATGGTCAGCAATTTCAGATCAACTCCGTAGATGGCAAGCCACTTTTTACAGTGGATGAAAATGAAGTTGTCGTTGGTACAGATAAACTTCGAATCACAGGTTTGTAATAGATATTTAAGATATGCCTGAAAAATGTGTTTCCACATATAACTCAAGCAAAACCACACCCAGTTCAGCTAAAATAACATTTACATTAAATCATGTGCATGTAAATGCAGGTTCTATCTTTACCTCATTAGGAAAGGGAAAATTTGAAAATGTTCTAACCTTTATCAATAAATTGAATTGATGGGTTAGGAATGTCATTAGCATTATAATAGGGTTGCATAAACTTCACCCTAAACTAGCTCCTGTAGGTAATAGACATTGTGCCTAAGCTGTTTTTCTCATCTATTTCTTATTTTAAGAACACATGGTAATTGGTAAACTAAGACTGAAGGAATCCTGCATGGTCTTATTTGTGTAACCATTTGGATTGAGAATTCTAAATGGAACTTTTGCCAAGTTCTGCTGTAAAATAGTGATTTTTTTATACCTTCTTTCAAAGTGACAAAATGCTCTTATTTCACCTTGCCTTTGATATTTACACCATAGCACTTTATTAAGTATAGTGCATTTAAAATGTCACTTACTAAAAGACAAATTTGCCTTGGACATTATCAGATCATGTTTGAATAGTTCTGCACATCATTAACATTAATACAGAACAGTAGTTACTATGCTTTTATTTGATAGCATACATAAAGACATTTTACTGTGCTCCATTGTAAACTAGTACTTACATTATCTGTAGCCACTAACAACATTTTCCAGGTTTAACTTGCTTTAAATTTTACATATTAAAGTTCAGTTACTCTGGATTTAAATTGAAATAATTGATCAAAGAAAATACTGACATTGCCACGTAACTTACATTCAATTTCAGTTTCCGTATTTTAGAACCTAATTACAACTGTCATATTTAACTTGCTTTCATTATTAGTACTCTAAAATCTTGAGGTCTTAATTTTAATAGATCAAGGCAAGTTATTCCACTGTATAAAAATATAACAGTAGTAGTTAGTGTACAATTAGCACTTCTAAGACAAATTTAAGTTAAAATATGTGTTCAGAAATTATGTTTATTGCTCAGGGTTATATCTTAAGATTTTTTGCTTTTTAACTTACCGGTAATTGAAATTACAACTTTATTTAACCAGAAAACCACCTCAAATGATTATTATATGCCCAAGGGGCACCAAATTTTAACAAAAAAGCAAGTTTAGCATGTGTAGCAAAGATATGAAAGACTGGACAATAGTTAATTGATTTTGAAAAGATCTATCTGTGCACGAAGTCAGAATAAGTCATACATTCATTGAAATAATGATGTTAAAATATGTATTATACTCCTTTTTAATCTTCTAGTTGGCAAAGATAACTGTGCAGTTTCATAGGTATTATATAGAATATAAGGCTTGATTCCCTTTCACATCACTGCAAATCAGGAATAAATCCATTAAAGTCAATGAAATTGTTCCAGTATAAAAGCTGTATAAGTGAGAGGAGAATCAAGCCCACTATAACAATTTTAAAAATAATCTCTTTTTTAAAGTATTACTTGTTCATTAAAGACAATGTTATCAGTTTTGTATAGAATGTTGAGTAAGCTGTGGACACATGAGATAGTTTCAGGCTTAAAAACATGTCAAGAATATTTTGCAATACTGTATCTTTATGTGCAATATAGTGACCCAACTTCTCTTCTTTTTTCATCTCTTATATACCTTATTCATCATCATCATCATCATCACTCCCATAACCGCATTGGTCGTTGGAGCACCATCAGTGATGAGCAATTAACCAATTGTCTCCACCCCTGAAGATTGTGTGTCAGTGCTTGAGTCTCCGTAAAGTCCTTTCCTGTCCACTCTTTTATGTTCTCAATCCAACTCTTCTTCTGTCTACCTCTTCTTCTCTTCCCCAGTACTGTCCCTTAGAGGATGATCTTGGATAGGCCAGATGATCTTGTTACATGGCCGTACCACTTCAGCTTGCGCTTCTTCATGATCATGAGGAGGTCTTCATAAGACCCAGCGCATTGGGTGATGATGTTGCGGACCTCTTCATTAGTGACGTGGTCGAAGTAGGAGATGCCCAGGATTTTACGGAAGCATCTCATCTCTACTACCTGTATTTTCCATTCAAGTTCTGTCGTGAGGGTCAATGTCTCGCATGCATACAGAAAAATTGAGATGACCAATGCATGCAGCAGTTTCAGTTTGGATTCCAGGGAGATGTTCTTATTCCTCCAAATTGGCTTTAAACTTGCCACTGCTGGTGTTGTTTGCGCAGTTCTTGCCCGAATTTCTGCCTTGGATCCTTCATCAGTGATGATTGCTCCCAAATACTTGAACTATTTCACTGTCTCCAGCTCTTGTCCACTGACAGTGATATGTGAGCTGATCCCATCACGTTTGTTTGTCATCAGCTTGGTTTTCTCTGCACTGATTTCCATACTATATTTTGCAGAGGTTTCATCCAATCGTTTCATTCAGTTCTTCTTCGCTGCCTGCCAGACCATCAATGTCATCAGCGAACAGAAGATTTGAGATTGTTCGCCCCCCCAATGCTGACTGTGCATATGTGATCTTCTAGGGCATCAGTCATGTGCTCCAAGTAGATGTTGAACACTGTGGGAGAAAGAAGGCAGTCTTGCCGGACTCCCAACAGTGGTGTGAAACCGTTCTCCTATTGTGCCATTGATGAGCAGGGCCAGCTCCAGGCACCAGCCGAGCAAGCTGGTGCTTGGGGCGGCAGCTTGTAGGAGGTGGCATTCCGCCCAATCCTAGGGCGGCATGGCTGCTTTTGTTGTTGTTGTTGTTGTTGTTCCGCTCCGGCTGCCCTGTAGGGGGCATCGGCGTAGAGGATGGGAGCGCCCTGCAGCAAGCCCAGCAGGGCAGCCCGCGTCCATTCCTCCCAGCCGACCGGAGCAGCGTGGAGCCCTCCCAGCAGGGGGCACAGCGGGAGGGGCCACATGGCAGCGCCCCGCTGAAGCCCTGGCTGCCCCCCTTCTCTCTCTCCCCCCGCTCCCTCCCTCTCCCTCCACTGCACCTCATTGCCCCCTACCATCATTTTCCCCAATGGGGGCCTATTTCCCCAATGGGGGCCCACAAATATGTTTTGTTTTTTTTGTTTTTTTGCTTGGGGCGGCCAGAAAGCCAGAGCCGGCCCTGTTGACGAGAACTGCTTACGACCAACATTGTACTTCTTCATGGTTGCCCAGAGAGCTTCGTGCCATACTCTGTCAAACGCCTTCTTGAAATCAACAAAGACATGATAGATGTCCTGCTGGTGTTGTAGGTACTTCTCACATAGAACACGAAAGTTGAAAATCTGTTCTGTGGTACTTCTTCCAGCACGAAAGCTAGCCTGTTCTTCAGCGATGATATTGTCTGCTTGTGGCTTCAATCTGTTCAATATAACTTTCAACATCACTTTGCTGGGGTGGCTAATTAAGCTTATGGTCTGGTAATTTTGACACAATTGCAGGTTGCCTTTCTTTGGCAGAATGATGATTAGTGACTGTGTCCACATGGAGGGCCACTCATCGGTCTGCCAGATCTTGTCGCAGATCTTGGTGAGTACATCTATTACTATTTCTCCTTCGAATTTCATCAATTCTGCTGGGATGTTGTCAATACCTGTAGCCTTTCTATTCTTGAGCGATTTCACAGCTGTCTCCACTTCTTCACATAGTATTGGAAAGTCATCCTCCTCTGTTGAATCTGGGCTGTCTAAGACACTAGGATCTCCATTTGTCTGGTGGTTGTATAGATCAGAGCAGTAGTTTGTCCACCTATTGATGATGTCCCTTTCTTCTGTAAGACTGTTCCCTTTTTTGTCTTGAATTGCGTTACCTTTGGTCCATCTTTCCTTCATCAGATATTTTACAACCCGGAAGGCTCGTTTGCTATTTTTATTATTGATACACTCGTCAATTTTAGAGCATTGTTTTTCAATCCATATCTCCTTGGCCACCTTCATTCCTTGTTCTTTTTGGCAATCGCTCTCTATTTATCAGCTCCCTCAGTGCTGTTCTTGTCTCTCTTAAGTTCTCTTCTGATGTCACCAGTACCTGGTTTACAATGGCGCCGGGCCCATGCTCAACAGAGTCTGTCAGCTGGCCGGGCGCTGCACTTCACTTGTGTTGCCAGCCGAGTGGCCACCGCAGGCTGGCTCCTCTCCTCTCCAGCCCCTCCCCCGTGCTCCTCTCGGCTGTCTGGCAAGCCCAGGTATCCCCGCCCTGTCCCGTCCCCTCCACCCATTCGCTTCTCTGCCAGCAGGGCTGGGGGACTCTTGGGGGTCACGGCCCACAGGGGTCTGCCTGCCCTGCTCCCCAGCACGGCTCTGGCTCCGGGCGGTCTTGCTCTCCCCACCATCTCCCAGGGCTGAGCCGCCTGGGACCAGTGCAGGGGCCAGGTCATTCTGGGCCCCAGGCAAGGGGGTTCTGAGGGAGCCTGCTCAGGAAGACCCCTCCCACTCTGATCCCCAACCGGCCCCAGCTGTGATGCTGGCTCAGTCCAGGCAAGGCAAATAGCCCCCGCCCAGCAGGCCGCTGAGTGTGGCTGGGGGGCAGGCAGGGTGGGGGTAGTGGGTCTCTGGGGATGGCGCTGGACAGTGGGGGTCCGTGTGGGGTACTTCTGGACCCAGGGAGAATGAAAACAGCCCAATTCCCCCTCCTACAGCGTTCTTTGCTTCCCTGCAGAAAGTGAAGGAGGAACAGGGGATGTGATTGGGAATGTTCATGGCATAGTTTGGGGGCATTGCCCCCCAAATAGAGGGGAGGGGTGGGGACCACATGGGGTGCAAGGTCACATGCCACTGCTTCCTGTCCCTCGCCCCCTCCCCCCCAGCCATTTCTGTGAACGCAGAGCTGCGCAGCCCGGCTGAAAAAAGAAGGTGCTGCTCAGCTCCCTGGACTTTGCAGCTGGACACGCCTTCTGGGTCCTAGTGCTAGTTGAACTCCCTTCTGTGTGCTGGGAGCCATCCTTCATTTTGTACAACAGTGAGTGCCCACAGTAGGGTAGGGCAGGGGAAAGAGGCAGTGGGGAAAAAAG